CATTACAAGCAGGTAAGAAAAAGATCACTGGGGTTAACTAACGGCACATCCACTCTATCTTGGCTATTTATAATAATAATAATGTTTCCATTTTGGATAGTGCATTTCATATCAGGAGGACGTTTCAAAGCGCTTCACAGCATATACTGTAAAGTGGAGTGACTGCAATTGATGGGTGGGTTTGTGATTGGTATTTTGCTCTTTGGAGAATAGTGCCAATTTCAGCACTAACTGAGTCGCTGCTCACTTGCACCCTTATTCTTCCATTGCTATTGCTGTCTTATCTCAATATTGTATTCCAGTGGAAGGCAGGTGAGAGCCTACAGTAATTACTGTGAATTTCATTCCCTTTCTATTCATGTCCAGTCATTTCTAAATTTGCAATATTGACTGTATTTGGATACTGATAACTTCCAGAAGAATTGCTGTTGCCAGAGATGTATTTTTACATCACTAATCTCTATAGATGAGCTTTACTCTACCAATTAATTGAATATTAAGACAACATAGTCTTACAGCTAAGACTAGGTGGTGTATGGGGCCTCTGCAATCTAAGTGGAAATGATTACGAGCCCGAACACAAACATGCTATAAAATGCAAATTCTTTCTTTCAACTCCTCGGCCATTGGAAGCATGTGGTGTGGATTACAAATAAGAAACTGTCAGCTGCAGATCTGCTGTGGACAAAAAAAACAAAAGAACTTTTTGCCCCACTTCCTTGGTTCTGCTGCCTCAAAACCAGAGAAGTGGGATGAAAACTCTCCTTCGAATGATATAGACAGTGCATCTAGAGCTAACAGCACTGATGAGTCAGAAAGTTGGGACAAGCCCCATATTGGGACCTGAGCACATCATCTAGATTCACACTTTACTGCATTGCTGTGGAAATAATAAGAATAATAATCCTTGCATTTGATATAGCACCTTATCAGGTCACTGAAATGTCTCAAAGTGCTTCATGGAATATACTGTAAAGTGAATTGATTGTACATTTTGTGCATGGTCAGAGGTGCCACCTTTTTGGATGAGACCTTAAACCGAGGTCCCACGTGCCTTTTCTCAAGTAGCCGTTAAAGATCGCCATTCGAAAAGAGAAGGGAGGTTCTCTTGGTGGTGTGAACCATTATCCTCCAGATTCATTCAGTATTAACTTCACTGCTGTTTGTGGGCCATTCTGCGCATAAAATGATTGCTACGTTTGCCTACAAAAACAGTTGAGATGTTTCAATGCAATAAGACACTCCAAAAATGAAAGTTATTTAGTTTAATTACAGCACACGTCTGCGGCTGTAGATGTTACCATAGTGAATGGCAGAGAAGCAATGTGTGCTGGCTTTGTAGGAGTTAAAATCAAATCCTATTATAGAAAGATCTTCACAGTGTGAGCGAGGGTATAGTAGAGATTCACAAAATAAAAATAATAGCAGGGATGAGGAAATAAGAGTTTTGTGGAGAGACTTGAAATGTTTGGATACATTTTGCTACAGCAAAATCTGTAGAGAAGCTGGCAAAATTGTGCTGGGAAGAAGTTTAAGATAGGATTTTAATAGGGCTTTTTTAAATTGACGTATGGTTTCAGATGAAGAAAAGTTTCTGAAGAAAGGCCATTTCCACTGAATAGTGCTTCAGTAACAAGAGAGCATAAATTGAGAATAATCATCAGAAGTTAAATCAAGGAAGGTGAATTATTTTTACAAAAGAGGGTTGTTAGAACAAATAATTCTTTGCCACTCACAACTGTGTGTTGAAACTAAGTGCACAGCAGTGACTGTATATTTAATGGGCGAAATAATAAGAATGGGTCACTTCAATCCATATATAAAGTATCAGAATAGAAAGATCCAGTGGGGTTTAGTAGCACTAACAATGACACTACACGATGCAAAATTCTATGATTCTACAATTTAAACTCAAATTGTCTACAAAAGCAAAATAACCTTCTGCTTTGATTTAAGACTGAGATGCTTTTCTATGGAGAGAATATTTTCCCTATTTACTCTGCCTACACTGATGTAAAATTCAGAGTTAATGTAATTCCTATTGTGACCTTTTAAGTCTTTGATCCTAATGGGTGAGTGCTCACAAGTGTGCGATGAGGTATTAGCTTTGTGCGAAGGAGGAAACTTGTCATTTCTGAGCTATTTGTTCACAGCAGAACTGCAGGGGTCAGTTTACCCTTTGCAATCCGCATTACAGGCTTCCAAAGGCTGTGGAGTTCAAAGAAAGAACTTGTATTTTACAGCGTCTAATATTTTAAAATATCTACTTGTAGGATAATAATAATCCTTGGATTTGATATAGCGCCAATCACATCTTCTAGATGTCTCAAAGCGCTTCAAAGAATACATTATAAAAATAATTGACTGTATATTTTGTGGGCGAAACATGGCAGCCAATGGCGCACAGCAGTGTCCCACAGGCAGTCCTGGATTGAAGCGACCAATTTTTTTTAAGGAATTATTACTTTAATGAGATTTTGATCTGTGGAAAGCCTCAAATTGGTTCGGGTTTAAAACAGGCACAGAGTACAGATTAGCGAGTTTAATCTCAATGGGGGGGAGGGGGATGGGGACGTCTTGTTTCCAGGTCGGCAAAGGCACCAGTTGATGAATAGATACTCCTTTGTATTTTTTAGGATTAAAAAAGAAGTTTTTAGGATTTTTTAGGATTATTATCTATACTAATAAAACCACAATGTCTGTGTGTGTGTGTATCATCCAATATCTCAATAACCGATTGATGTAGAGACGTGATTTATACCTCATGGGAAAGGTCTTGAACGGGTGAGCGTCGTGGGCATATACTTTTTTCAGGGATCTCCTAACATTGATGAGATATATTTAAAAAATGCTTTAATTTTTTAGCAATCCGCGACTGTTTGTGGAACACTGCTGTGCGCAATTGGTTGTTGCGTTTCGCCCAAAATATACACTTTACAGTATATTCTATGAAGCGCTTTGAGACATCTAGAAGACGTGAAAAGTGCTATATCAAACACAAGGATTATTATTAATTAATCCCTCAAATATGAGGTAAGCATGCAACAAAGTAGCAACAGAAGAAATCACACACGGTTGTAGAGGGATACATTTGTACTCATATATTGTGCAAAAAAAGTAGTAGAAAAAAACATGTGCATACTGTTTTGGGATAAAATATAATAATATAAAGTAATGTATAATAATACTGAAATCTACATTCCATATTGTAGCTGCAACGGGTACAGTTAGCATAGAAAGAAAGGGGTGACTAAAAGGGGGGAGAGAGATTATTCTCCAGAGAATTTAGTACTGTAAACATATAAATACTGCAATATAAAGTTACATTTATGTACTGTACTGCCTTTCACATTGAGAAGATATTCCAAAGCGCTTAGTGTAAAAGAAAGTCTCATTTGAAGGAAATTATCTGCTTCAATATTGGTGGAATGTTTCTCCCGTTTGCGAAAGTTAAGTCCTTGTGAACAATGTGACACTTCAGTGACATTGTGTCCCGCCGGTGGTAGTGGGGATGCAGGGGGTGGTGATGGGAGAACAGCTGCTTTCAACATTTCTGAGCTGAAAGCTCCAAAAAAGAAATTAGCCAGACATGTGATTGATACCCATTAGTTCCTGTGAAACAATTAACTCTTTCACTATATTCCATCCTTCCCCCAACACAATAATAAAAAATAGTAATCCTTGATATTGTGCCTATCACAACTATAAGACATCTCAAAGCGCTTCACAGAATACACTAATAATAATCCTTGCATTTGATATAGCGCCTTATCACGTCTAGAAGACGTGAAAAGTGCTATATCAAATGCAAGGATTATTATTATTATTATCTTCGAGACGTTTCAAAGCACTTCACAAAATATGCTGTAAAGTGAATTGACTGTATATTTTGTGGATGAAACACGGCAGCCAATTGCACACAGCAGCGTCCCACAAACAGCCGTGGATTGAGTGTCCAATTTGTTTTTTTAAAGGAATTATTACCCCCAGAAAAGCGATCCGACAATTGACTAACAACCGGGTTCCTACTTACTAATAGGTAAACAGCAACATGAGGAGTAATGAAACGTGTCCAAGGTTTCGCCCTGCCGGGAATCAAACCCAGGTCTCTGGCTTATGAGGCGAGTGTTCTAACCACTGAGCTACAGGACTTCATTGTAACGTGAATTGGCTGTAGCAAACAATCTGCTGAAACTCACTGTCTAGAATCACGGGCATGAAAAACAGCGACTTGGCTCGGGGTACTAGAGGACAGTCAGTGCCTGTGGAATCTGCTTTAGCAGAGCATTATTTATCGGAAGAAAAACTAGAAAAGGAAAAAGACACACAATCTGGTAGAAAGGTTTATGATTGTGCATCACGCAATTGTACAAAATATGGCAATCACTTGATGGTCATATAACAAATAATAATAATAATAATCCTTTCATTTGATAGTGTGCCTTATCATGACATGTCGTCGAGACATCTGGAGGAAATTAGGACAAAAATTACGGGTGGCTCTTTTCACCTCCCTCTAATTTAAACTCCCCCTCCTTCCCCCTTGAAGTATTTCAACAATTTGTTTTATATTGTGGGGTCTTTTTACATGTAACCTCGATATGTCCTATTTCTCGATTTCCAGAACCTCCCACTAGACTTCAAATCCCCTGGTACCTCCCTGCCTCTCCAACCCGCTTACTCTCCACTCCTCCACCCATTGCCTCCACTCGACTGGCACTGGCCTCCTCCTTGTCCCTCAGGCCCAGTGTTCCACCATTGGGGGTCGCGCTTTCAGCCACTACGCCCCAAATGGAACACTTTCCCTCAATCTCTTTGCCTTGCCCCATCCTTCCCCATCTTCAGGTTGCATCTGAAGATTTTCCTCTTCGACCGTGCCCAAGGACACCCCCCCTCCCCCCCAGGTTGGCGCTGTGCTCCGCCACCGTCAAGCGCTCTGAGATGCTAACCTGCGTGAGGGATGCGATATAATTGCAAGTTGTCGTTGTTGTTTCTCTTACCTGTCTATGCATAAGGTGGTGACAGTGCCCACTGTAGTGAATTGGTTGCTAACATCCATGACTGTCACTATTTTGCACATGACCTGCCCGAAGACCCAGTGCCTGTGCCTCACCAGTTGATGGATGGTGAAGGGCATACCCACCAGGAACAGCAGGTCCGCTGTGGCCAAACTGAGGATATAGATGTCCGAGATGCCTTTGGTCCGACAGCTCAGCACTGTGCAGATGACCAGACTGTTGGCCCCGACTCCGGTCAGACACAGGACACCGTACACTAAGGGCAAAATGTGCATCACTGTCGCTTCGTCCAAAACCTCCTCATCTGCAGAGTTGGAGGAACCGTTCATCGTGTTCAAGGCTTGAAAGG